ACTTACTGGAAATTACACACTAACTACATTTAGGAAAATACTCACAGTACTTTACGTTTCCTCTTGTCGTTTATTCTAAAGTTAGGACAGTTCTCTATCATCTCGAGGGACGAGGATGTTTTTCTTGACGTAGTCCATTGCCACGGCAGCATCCACGAACTGCTTTTCCACGTTGTTGTGAGTGACGCGGAATCTGGCGGGGAAGAGACTCCGGGTCTGTCACGGAGCAACTTCCTCACATCGGTGAAGGCGCCCGGGCCTGAACAACGCTGGTTGTGTAGTCGGGGAAAATAGTGATGGGATGTTCTTTATAACAGAGTTGTCCTCCCCCGCTGCGCTCTCCTCAGGATGTCCGCGGCGTCTCCGCTCTTTAGCCTGGCGATAATAACACGGGTTTATGATCTCCTTGCCTCGACCAGACCCAAGACCACCGCAGCCCGAACCTCTCTGTCCAGCCGGAACACCTCTTTCAGAAGTGAGGAGACCACCTCCGGTTTGCTGGAGGCTTTCGGCCGCACCTGCAATTCTGATGTTTCCTCTTCTCATTGGCCCCTCCAGATCTTCACACTTGTCCCTGAGCTTCTGTACTTCTGCCTTGAGACGCGTCACCAGTCCTGCACTTCAACCAACTCGTCACACATAACAGACATGTCACCTTCCATAGTTTCACATCGGCTTTTACCTGGTCGAGCTCCTCGCAGGGCAGCGGTGTTATTTTTTATCTCCGTTTTCACGTCTTCTGTTTGTGTTTTCAGTGACTCAAAGTTTTCTCCCAAGGCTTTTTCCATCTCCTCTTTGATTATAGTGGACATGTCCTGTCGCAGGGAGGCAAGGAGATCAGTTTTGATCGCCGTCGTGTCCATGTTTGTAGCTTTCGGATCAGACTTTGGTGTTTGACTGGCGGTGTTGTCGGAACTTCTTCCCGCGGATGGTTCGACCTGGTGTGAAACTAAACAAACTGGTGATTCACACTGAGCTGCTGTCAACTCCCTGAACCTAAAGGAACAAGAGAAACTCCAGAAGATTCAAGGCGTCACCTGTTCAACATGTTATTTGCATCTTCATATGGATGTTTATAAAATCTGGTTTGAGGGATTCAGAGGCGTCCAGATTTGCCTGATTGAAGACGTGTGCAGGGGTCAGGGACGACGATCTGACCCAGAGCTCTGGATTGTTTAGGGAATAAATTCTTTTAGATTTGAATCGATTGATTCCAGTGGTTGTTTTGAAGACGCTGAATGGTTTTTGAGGAAACCTAACACATTACAATTTGCACATGTATAATTGAACATATGGTGATATTTTGGTGTGTCTGATCAGATTGTGACTCGTCATGTCTGATGTTGATCACTACAAGCGCCTCTGTTTGGTCAGTTTTTGTGTCAGATGCCCCGGCTGGTCGGCGTCAGGCCTCACGGACTCAGAAGCTTGTGTTTTGTGGTACGTTGAAGAATATTTATTATATGATTTGGAAGATCTGCAGCAGAGTTAAACAGGAGTTACTGCACTTTTCTGGACTGAGATGTTCTGTTGTTTTTCCTGGATCTGTTGGAGTTTCTTCCAGTTTGGGGGTTTCAGCCCAGAGTGTCCGATCACCACAGGCTCCACTGATGCCTTCACCTTCCAGACCTTCTCCAGCTCCTCCTTGAGCCTCTGGTGTTTCTCTAGTTTCTCATGTTCCTTTTTCCTGATGTTTCCGTCTCTTGGTGTTGTGATGTTCCACCACACGGCTCTGCTCTGTTTCTTCTCCACCTCCACTATGTCTGGTTGGTCCATCTCCATCCTGTCAGTCTGTATCTGAAGTCCCACAGGATCTTGGCTCGGTTGTTCTCCACAACCTTTGGAGGTGTTTCCCACCTTGATCCTGGTGTCTCCAGCTCGTTCTCTGCTCAGATGTTTCTGTGACACTCTGCCTCCACTTGGTTATGTGGCTCCATGTTTGTTTCCCTGCAGCGTCTGACACCTGCAGGTCTGTGCTGGACTGTCTCAGGAGCCTCTTTGCACAGTCGACACCGTGGCTCTTGTCTGGTGTTGTAGATCTGGGCCTCTGTTGCTCAAGTGCTCAGGTGCCTGCTCCTGAGCTCCAGGATGAGCTCTGTGTGTCCTTCAGACCCTCTCCAGACATTGGGAGGATTTCTTGATCTCAGCCTCTTCAGTTCTGTTCCAGTGGTTCATGTTGGGGTTTGTCCTGCCATGATGGTTCCTCCAGCTCCTCTTCCTCTGGACCCCAGTGTCTGAGACCTTCTCTGAGCTCCTCATCTGTCGGGGCCTTGTCCTTGATGTTCTCATGGAGCTTGATGTTTCATCCTGGACAGTGGTTCCCACACTCACTAGTCCTCGGCTCCTTCCTTCCTTCACGTTCAGTCTCAGGGAGCTGGATTTGGGATGAACCCTCCACATGGTCAGGAGCTTTCGTGTCTTAACATCTGTGGTCTGGATCTTCTCTTTTGGTCAGCGTCTGATTCCTGCAGGATCTGATCACTGACAGGGTGGAGATGTTTATTGCCTGGGCCTTGTTCTTCCATTCAGCTGCTTCGTAGGACTTGTCTGACTCTTTGCAGGTATTTGGCCGTAGCCGTTTTCTTGTTGTTTCTTTGAGGAGCCATTTGCTTGTGGGAACCAAGGTCCTTGTAACTGTCCTGAACATCTGCTGCTGTTCCCTCTGTGTGTGTGTGTGTGTGTGTGTGTGTGTGTGTGTGTGTGTGTGTGTGTGTGTGTGTGTGTGTGTGTGTGTGTGTGTGTGTGTGTGTGTGTGTGTGTGTGTCAGATGCCCTCCCGCTACATAGAGATGAAGACAGAGGAAGAGAAGAGGGATAAAGAGACCAGGACTGAAACCAGGACTGAACCAGGACTGAACCAGGACTAAACCAGGACTAAAACCAGGACTAAACCAGGACTAAAACCAGGACTAAACCAGGACTAAACAGGACTGAACCAGGACTGAACCAGGACTAAACCAGGACTTTAACCAGGACTGAACCAGGACTGAACCAGGACTGAACCAGGACTAAACCAGGACTAAACCAGGACTAAACCAGGACTAAACCAGGACTAAACCAGGACTAAAACATGGACTGAACCAAGACCAGGACTAAACCAGGACTAAAGCAGGACTGAACCAGGACTGAACCAGGACTAATGTAAAACAGGACACGGCAGAGGCTTATGTCCCGAATCCCTGGTGTAATTATGACAAAAATAGAACATAGGCGCCTCAAAAACTTCACATTTCATTTTTATTATTATCACTGTGTTTTACTCACAGTCTGTTTGTCTTTCAATGATAAATGACTCACATCTAAATCCAAAATACAAACTGAAAATGCTGAAATCCAGAGTCCTTTTCCTCTTTAGACGTCCACAGACTGTAAAGAAATCGCTTGGCTCCAGTCAAATGAAGCTCATCGACGCTGGCGGTTACAGGGGAGAATTCAGAGCTGCATTTTAGGAATCGATTTACAGACAAAACAGCAAAATGAAAAACCCGGGATCACGTAGAGCGGATTAATACGAACATTTTAAGAGCAGAACGATGAGGCTCGCAGCAGCAGTTACGGCCGACACACACTACAGGATTTGGAACCATTTTTAAACGTGCGACAGAAAGCGAACGCCACAGACACGAGGAGAATCTTACGAGACTTTAAATCCCCGATCGCAAAGACTGAAGCGGGATCTGTGTGCAGACCTTTGTGTCACCTGTTTCCTGTCTACAGTAAAACCACTCACTTTGAGACTCTTCAGTGTTCAAAGATCAGACTGTGCACTTCTAGTTCACATACAAAACAAAACTGGGTTATTATTATTATTTGTGAATTCAATTTGTATTTCTTTGTGTCAAACACCAGGACTTTTCTGAAAATGAACAGGTCAGACTTTACCCGCCCCTTTACCTGAGCAGTGAGGCCCCGCCCCTTTACCTGAGCAGTGAGGCCCCGCCCCTTTACCTGAGCAGTGAGGCCCCGCCCCTTTACCTGAGCAGTGAGACCCCGCCCCTTTACCTGAGCAGTGAGGCCCCGCCCCTTTACCTGAGCAGTGAAGGCCCCCTGCCCCTTTACCTGAGCAGTGAGGCCCCGCCCCTTTACCTGAGCAGTGAAGGCCCCGCCCCTTTACCTGAGCAGTGAGGCCCCGCCCCTTTACCTGAGCAGTGAGGCCCCGCCCCTTTACCTGAGCAGTGAGGCCCCGCCCCTTTACCTGAGCAGTGAGGCCCCGCCCCTTTACCTGAGCAGTGAAGCCCCGCCCCTTTACCTGAGTATTTTCTGAGTAACTTTCCTGCAGAGGACAGGGACTAACAGGTGCAGACAGACAGTGCAGACTTCTGTTCTGTTGGGGTTCTGGTTCTGTCTGCCCCTGCAGCCCCTGTCGCCCCTGCCCACTCCCCCCCTCGCCCCTGCCTCCGCTCCTGCCACAGAACACACTGACAGGTGCTTTATGCAAATGATCTTTATTGAGGCAGTGATGTCACAGCGGCTTTGTGTGCTGATTGGCCGTAGCTCTGCGTGCTGATTGGCCGGAGCTCTGCTGCTGATTGGCCGGAGCTCTGCGTGCTGATTGGCCGGAGCTCAGTCGGACTTCCTGTGTTTGTGTCGTCGCTGCGTTGCCGTGGAAACCTCCTCCTCCGCTCGGTCACCGAAGGTCGGACGAGCCTCCGAACACACACACGGTAAACCAGATGCCCTCCCAGAGCGCCACACTAACCCAGGTGCCCTCCCCGTGTGTCAGATCGTGTCAGATGCCCTCCCCGTGTGTCAGATGTGTCAGATCGTGTCAGATGCCCTCCCCGTGTGTCAGATCGTGTCAGATGCCCTCCCCGTGTGTCAGATCGTGTCAGATGCCCTCCCCGTGTGTGTGTCAGATCCCTCCCCGTGTGTCAGATCGTGTCAGATGCCCTCCCCGTGTGTCAGATCGTGTCAGATGCCCTCCCCGTGTGTCAGATCGTGTCAGATGCCCTCCCCGTGTGTCAGATCGTGTCAGATGCCCTCCCCGTGTGTCAGATCGTGTCAGATGCCCTCCCTCACCTTGATGCAGAGGAAAAGCAGCGACAGAAAAACTCCAACAGGAATCATCACCAACAAAACCCCGAGAAGAGGAGCCTCCCTGAACACGGGCTGAGGACACAAGGACACGAGGAGACAAGGACACAAGGACACGAAGACACAAGGACACAAGGAGACGAGGACACGAGGACACGAGGACACAAGGACACGAGGACACAAGGACACGAAGACACGAAGACACAAGGAGACGAGGACACGAGGAGACGAGGACACGAGGACACGAAGACACAAGGAGACGAGGACACAAGGACACGAAGACACGAAGACACAAGGAGACGAGGACACGAGGAGACAAGGACACGAGGACACGAGGACACGAAGACACAAGGAGATGAGGACACGAAGACACACAGAGACGAGGACACAAGGAGATGAGGACACGAAGACACAAGGAGACGAGGACACGAGGACACAAGGAGACGAGGACACGAGGAGACGAGGACACGAGGACGCGAGGACACAAGGAGACGAGGACACGAGGACACGAGGTGACAAGGACACGAGGACACGAAGACACGAGGACACGAGGAGAGTAGGACAGGAGGACACGAGGACACAAGGACATGAGGAGACAAGGACACGAGGACACAAGGAGACGAGGACACAAGGACATGAGGAGACAAGGACACAAGGAGACAAGGACATGAGGAGACAAAACACAAGGAGACAAGGGGTTAGGAGATAAATGTTAGGAGCTAGGATTTAAGAATTGGGAATTGAGAACTAGGACTTAAGTGATAGGAGGTAGGATGTAGCAGGTAGGTGTTAGCAGGTAGGAGGTAGGTGTTAGGAGGTAGGCATTAGGAGGTAGGTATTAGGAGGTAGGAGGTAGGTGTTAGGAGGTAAGAGGTAGGTGTTAGGAGGTAGGCATTAGGAGGTAGGAGGTAAGTGTTAGGAGGTAGGAGGTAAGTGTTAGGAGGTAGGTGTTAGGAGGTAGGTGTTAGGAGTGTTAGGAGGTAGGAGGTAGGTGTTAGGAGGTAGGAGGTAGGTGTTAGGAGGTAGGAGGTAGGTGGTAGGTGTTAGGAGTTAGGTGTTAGGAGGTAGGAGGTAGGAGGTAGGTGTTAGGAGGTAGGTTAGGAGGTAGGTGTTAGGAGGTAGGAGGTAAGTGTTAGGAGGTAGGTGTTAGGAGGTAGGAGGTAGGTGTTAGGAGGTAGGTGTTAGGAGGTAGGTGTTAGGTAGGTGTTAGGAGGTAGGTGTTAGGAGGTAGGAGGTAGGTGTTAGGAGGTAGGTGGTAGGTGTTAGGAGGTAGGAGGTAGGTAGGAGGTAGGTGGTAGGTGTTAGGAGTTAGGTGTTAGGAGGTAGGTGGTAGGTGTTAGGAGGTAGGTGTTAGGAGGTAGGAGGTAGGTGTTAGGAGGTAGGTGTTAGGAGGTAGGAGGTAGGTGTTAGGAGGTAGGTTTAGGTAGGAGGTAGGAGGTAGGAGGTAGGTGTTAGGTAGGAGGTAGGTGTTAGGAGGTAGGTGTTAGGAGGTAGGAGGTAGGTGTTAGGAGGTAGGAGGTAGGAGGTAGGTGTTAGGAGTTAGGAGGTAGGACTCACCCTCAGACTCGTCCTGACGTCATAAACGAATCGTCTGATTCGCTGAGCCGCGCTGTTCCCGCCCTGAGCCTGTCACATGACACAAACACGCTCTCATGGGGTCAAAGGTCACAGGTCAAAGGTCAAAGGTTACGGACCTGCAGTGTCCCGGCCAAAACCGAGTCCAAGAACCGAGTCAGGTCCTCCTCCGTCTCCACGGCGACCGGCGGCTCAAACCAACTGTCATTGGTCAGATTCAAGACGAGGAGGAGGGGCACGATGACATCATCACTGTGAGACAGACAGAGGGAGGAGGGGCGTGGTCTGTGTATCACGTGATCATGTTGACCAATCAGAGCGAACGATTATAAAATGTTTTTTTAAGACGACTGAAGGATTTTGAGCTGAGAAAAAGTTTATGATCTAAAAATCACCACAAAATCTGACATTTTTGAAAATTATAGGTCCCTGTCAGTCCCTGTCAGCCCCTGTCAGTCCCTGTCAGTCCCTGTCAGTTGAGCAGGAGGTGTTTGTGTTTGTGACACTGACTCTGTGAGAAAAATCCTGTTTCAGTCCTGGATGTTTCAACAGAACACAAATAAACAAAAAACAAACAAATAAATAAACAAATAACAAACAAACAAACACCTGCAGATATTTAAACAGATCCATGCTCCAGATAATACTCCCTACAACTGTACAACCTAGTCTAAGTCTGGGTCCAGGTCTGGGTCCGGGTCTGGGTCCAGGAGGATCTCACCTCATGATGAATCCAGACACAAAATCCGTCTCCTCCAAAAATCCAAAATAAAAGAAACTAAAATGAGAAAAAGAAAAAAAAAGAAAAAAAAAAAGAAAAGAAAAGAGAGGAGGAGGTGTCTGGGGAGAGGGAGGACAGGAGGAGGAGGTGTCTGGGGAGGGGGAGGACAGGAGGAGGAGGTGTCTGGGGAGGGGGGAGGAGGAGGAGGTTCTGGGAGGAGGAGGAGGTGTCTGTCTGGGGAGAGGGAGGACAGGAGGAGGAGGTGTCTGGGGAGGAGGAGGTGTCTGGGGAGGGGGAGGAGGCAGGAGGAGGAGGTGTCTGGGGAGGAGGAGGAGGAGGAGGAGAGGAGGAGGTGGTGTCTGGGGAGGAGGAGGTGTCTGGGGAGGGGGGAGGAGGGAGGAGGAGGTGTCTGGGGAGGGGAGGACTGGGGAGGAGGAGGTGTCTGGGGAGGAGGGGGAGGAGGACAGGAGGAGGTGTCTGGGGAGGGGAGGAGGAGTCTGGGAGGAGGAGGTGTCTGGGGAGGAGGAGGTGGAGGAGGTGTCTGGGGAGGGGAGGAGGAGGAGGAGGAGGTGTCTGGGGAGGAGGAGGAGGACTGGGGAGGAGGAGGAGGTGTCTGGGGAGGAGGAGGACAGGAGGAGGTGTCTGGGGAGGGGAGGAGGTGTCTGGGGGAGGAGGAGGGGAGGGGGAGGACCTGTTCTTGATTTTGTTTGTTGAAATTTTCTGGACCAAAGTTTTGTATCTGAAAAAAAAAAAAAAAAAAAAACTCACAATTTAACACAAAAGTAAAAGTAAAAGTACAAGTACTGTAGTACAAGTACAAGTACTGTAGTAAAAGTACTGTAGTACAAGTACTGTAGTTATAGTACATGTAGTACTTGTACAGACCTGAGACTTTCTTCAGAACGAGAATTTCCCAAAACAGCAACAAGAACCAAGCGACCTGAAACACAAACCTGGTTTAGACCTGGTTTAGTCCTGGTCTAGTCCTGGTCTAGTCCTGGTTTAGACCTGGTTTAGACCTGGTTTAGTCCTGGTTAGTCCTGGTCTAGTCCTGGTTTAGACCTGGTTTAGACCTGGTTTAGTCCTGGTTTAGACCTGGTTTAGTCCTGGTTTAGTCTTGGTTTAGTCCTGGTTCAGTCCTGGTTTAGTCCTGGTTTAGTCCTGGTTCAGACCTGGTTTAGTCCTGGTTTAGTCCTGGTTTAGTCCTGGTTTAGTCCTGGTTTTAGTCCTGGTTTAGTCCTGGTTTAGTCCTGGTTTAGTCCTGGTTTAGTCCTGGTTTAGTCCTGGTTTAGTCCTGGTTTAGTCCTGGTTTAGTCCTGGTTTAGTCCTGGTTTAGTCCTGGTTTAGTCCTGGTTTAGTCCTGGTTTAGTCCTGGTTTAGTCCTGGTTTAGTCCTGGTTTAGTCCTGGTTTAGTCCTGGTTTAGTCCTGGTTTAGTCCTGGTTTAGTCCTGGTTTCAGTCCTGGTTTAGTCCTGGTTTAGTCCTTGGTTCAGTTCCTGGTTTAGTCCTGGTTTAGTCCTGGTTTAGTCCTGGTTTAGTCTGGTTCTGGTTTAGTCCTGGTTAGTCCTGGTTTAGTCCTGGTTTAGTTCTGGTTTAGTCCTGGTTTAGTCCTGGTTTAGTCCTGGTTTAGTCCTGGTTTAGTCCTGGTTTAGTCCTGGTTTAGTCCTGGTTTAGTCCTGGTTTAGTCCTGGTTTAGGTTCAGTCCTGGTTCAGTCCTGGTTTAGTCCTGGTTTAGTCCTGGTTTAGTCCTGGTTTAGTCCTGGTTTAGTCCTGGTTTAGTCCTGGTTTAGTCCCCTGGTTTAGTCTGGTTTAGTCAGTCTTGGTTTAGTCCTGGTTTAGTCCTGGTTTAGTCCTGGTTCAGTCCTGGTTTAGTCCTGGTTCAGTCCTGGTTTAGTCCTGGTTTAGTCCTGGTTTAGTCCTGGTTTAGTCCTGGTTTAGTCCTGGTTTAGTCCTGGTTTAGTCCTGGTTTAGTCCTGGTTTAGTCCTGGTTTAGTCCTGGTTTAGCCTCTTGAGTACAGGTTGTAACTGTCGAGTTTCTCAAACGTCGAGAATCGTTCAGTTTGAACCCAGGACCTGAGGTCACGACCCCCGTCAGCTGCAACACAGGGTCAGAGGTCACAGGTCACAGGGGTCACAGGGGTCAGGGGTCACAGGGGTCACAGGGGTCAGGGGTCACAGGGGTCACAGGGGTCACAGGGGTCAGGGGTCAGACTCACGGTTGAAGCGCAGAAACGTTTCGTCTTTAAAAACGAGAACAGCAGGAAATGACGTCACAGAAACCCACTGCAAGAGACGACCAATCAGAAGAGAGCTCACCACAGACCGACCAATCAGAACACACCACAGACCGACCAATCAGAACACACCACAGACCGACCAATCAGAACAGAGCACACCACAGACCGACCAATCAGAACACACCACAGACCGACCAATCAGAACACACCACAGACCGACCAATCAGAACAGAGCACACACAGACGACCAATCAGAACAGAGCACAGAGAGATTATAGGCTCCAGTCAGTAGAGTCAGGTCAGTAGAGTCAGTAGAGTCAGTAGAGTCAGGTCAGTAGAGTCAGGTCAGTAGAGTCAGTAGAGTCAGGTCAGTGGAGTCAGTAGAGTCAGGTCAGTAGAGTCAGGTCATTAGAGTCAGTAGAGTCAGGTCAGTAGAGTCAGTAGAGTCAGGTCAGTAGAGTCAGGTCAGTAGAGTCAGGTCATTAGAGTCAGTAGAGTCAGGTCAGTAGAGTCAGTAGAGTCAGGTCAGTCAGGTCAGTAGAGTCAGGTCAGTAGAGTCAGGTCATTAGAGTCAGTAGAGTCAGTAGAGTCAGGTCAGAGTCAGTAGAGTCAGTAGAGTCAGTAGAGTCAGTCAGTAGAGTCAGGTCAGAGATCAGTAGAGTCAGTAGAGTCAGTCAGTAGAGTCAGTAGAGTCAGTAGAGTCAGTAGAGTCAGTAGTCAGTAGTCAGTAGAGTCAGGTCAGTAGAGTCAGGTCATTAGAGTCAGTAGAGTCAGGTCAGTAGAGTCAGGTCAGTAGAGTCAGTAGAGTCAGGTCAGTAGAGTCAGGTCAGTAGAGTCAGTAGAGTCAGGTCAGTAGAGTCAGTAGAGTCAGGTCAGTCAGTAGAGTCAGTAGAGTCAGTAGAGTCAGTAGTCAGTCAGGTCAGTAGAGTCAGTAGAGTCAGGTCAGTAGAGGTCAGTAGAGAGGTCAGTAGTCAGTAGAGTCAGTAGAGTCAGTCAGTAGAGTCAGGTCAGTAGAGTCAGGTCAGTAGAGTCAGTCAGTAGTAGTCAGGTCAGTCAGAGTCAGTCAGTAGAGTCAGGTCAGTAGAGTCAGGTCAGTAGAGTCAGGTCATTAGAGTCAGTAGAGTCAGTAGAGTCAGGTCAGTAGAGTCAGTAGAGTCAGGTCAGTAGAGTCAGGTCAGTAGAGTCAGTAGAGTCAGGTCAGTAGAGTCAGTAGAGAGTCAGTCAGTAGAGTCAGGTCAGTCAGAGTCAGTAGAGTCAGTAGAGTCAGGTCAGTAGAGTCAGTAGAGTCAGGTCAGTAGAGTCAGTAGAGTCAGGTCAGTAGAGTCAGGTCAGTAGAGTCAGTAGAGTCAGGTCAGTAGAGTCAGTAGAGTCAGGTCAGTAGAGTCAGTCAGGTCAGTAGAGTCAGTAGAGTCAGGTCAGTAGAGTCAGTAGAGTCAGGTCAGTAGAGTCAGTCAGTAGAGTCAGGTCAGTAGAGTCAGTAGAGTCAGGTTAGTAGAGTCAGTAGAGTCAGGTCAGTAGAGTCAGTAGAGTCAGGTCAGTAGAGTCAGGTCAGTAGAGTCACACAGATCTGTGACGCTCTGCAGCTGCACAACATCACAACTCTAACCCCCAATGAGTACTATAGTACTACAAGTACTACAATACTACACTACTACAATACTACAAGTACTACAGTACTACAAGTACTACAAGTACTACACTACTACAATACTACAAGTACTACAGTACTACAAGTACTACAAGTACTACACTACTACAATACTACAGTACTACAGTACTACAAGTACTACAATACTACAGTACTACAGTATAGTAGTACTACTATATAACAGTAATACTGTACTGTAGTACTATAATTTTACTATAGTGTCAGGTGTGCACCTGTGGCAGGTGCTCTCGACAGGTGCTGTAGAAGTTGGTGTGAACGATGAAATCCTGAGCCACAGCTGAGAAGTTACTCTGAAAAACACACAGTACTACACATAGTACTACAAAGTACTATAGAGTACTACAGAGTACTACACAGTACTACAAACTACTGCAGAGTACTGCACAGCACTACATAGTAATGCAAGTATTTAGGAAGAGGAGTTAGGAGGGAGGAGGTAGGAGTAGGAGGTAGGAGGTAGGAGTTAGGAGGTAGGAGGTAGGAGGTAGGAGGTAGGAGGTAGGAGGTAGGAGGTAGGAGTAGGAGGTAGGAGGTAGGAGGTAGGAGTTAGGAGTAGGAGGTAGGAGGTAGGAGGTAGGAGGTAGGAGGTAGGAGGTAGGAGGTAGGAGGTACCTTGAGTTCTGAAGTGGCTCCGATGAAGAGGAAAAGGACTTTGTGTCTCCTCAGAGCGTGAACGACCATCTGCCCCGAAGACAGAGTCCGGACCACAGGACTGAAACAGACCGGGTTTAGACCAGGTTGAGACCAGGTTGAGACCAGATTCAGTCCTGGTTTAGTCCTGGTTTAGTTCTGGTTTAGTCCTGGTTGAGTTCTGGTTTAGTCCTGGTTTAGTCCTGGTTTAGTCCTGGTTGAGTTCTGGTTTAGTCCTGGTTTAGTCCTGGTTTAGTCCTGGTTGAGTTCTGGTTTAGTCCTGGTTTAGTTCTGGTTTAGTCCTGGTTGAGTTCTGGTTTAGTCCTGGTTTAGTCCTGGTTTAGTCCTGGTTTAGTCCTGGTTTAGTCCTGGTTGGTTCTGGTTTAGTCCTGGTTTAGTCCTGGTTTAGTCCTGGTTTAGTCCCTGGTTTAGTCCTGGTGTAGTCCTGGTTTAGTCCTGGTCTAGTCCTGGTGTAGTTCTGGTTTAGTCCTGGTTGAGTCCTGGTTGAGTCCTGGTTGAGTTCTCACCCTGAGACTCTGTCGGTGAAGTCCAGGATTGAGTCTTTGGTCTTTGGGCCTTGGTAATTAAACTTCTGCTCCTTCTTCCACCTCAGAGACAAACACAAGAGGTCAGAGGTCACCACAGGGGTCAGAGGTCACCACAGGGGTCAGAGGTCACCACAGGGGTCAGGGGTCACCACAGGGGTCAGGGGTCATCCAAACTAAACTAAACCAAACTAAAATTAATTTAATTTTATTTTATTTTATTTTATTTGATCTAAACTAAGACAAACTTTACTAAGTTCAGATCCGACAGATGAGTCAGAGTCAGACACTCACAGGACGATGGCCGGATAAACACGAACACGGAACTCTCTGGAAAAAACTGACACAACACTCTGTGAGACCGGGTTTAGACCGGGTTTAGACCGGGTTAGTCCTGGGTTAGTCCTGGTTGAGTCCTGGGTTAGTCCTGGTTGAGTTCTGGGTTAGTTCTGGTTGAGTTCTGGGTTAGTCCTGGTTGAGTTCTGGGTTAGTACCTGTGTTGCTGGTGGCGTCCACTCGTCCCACTTGGACCGGGGACCCGAGACTCCGGAGCTCAGACCCGATCTGAGTCCAGACCGGGTCCAACTGTTTACACATCAAACACCAGGGGGCGTAGAACTGCAAGAGAGAAACAGAACCAGGACTAAACCAGGTCTAAACCAGGACTAAACCAGGATTTTTGTGCTTTTACCTTTATGAGCCAAATATCGTCTTTCTCACGAGTCTCCAAGAACCTGAAACACAACAGAAGAAAATTCAACAATATGAGCCACAGTGAACCCCGACAAACCCCAAAACAAACCCCAACAAACCCCGACAAACCCCACAAACCAAACCCCAACAAACCCCAAACCCCGACAAACCCCACAAACCCCAACAAACCCCAAACAAACCCCAACAAACCCCACAAAACAAACCCCCAACCCGACAAACCCAACAAACCCAACAAACCCCGACAAACCCCAAAACCCCAAAACAAACCCCAACAAACCCAACAAACCCCGACAAACCCCAACAAACAAACCCCAAAAACCCCAAAACAAACCCCAAAACAAACCCCAACAAACCCCGACAAAACCCCAAACAAACCCCAAAAACCCCGAAACCCCAAAACCCCCCAAAAACCCCAACAAACCAAACCCAAAACAAAACCCACCAACCCAAAACCCCAAAACCCCAAAACCCCAACAAACAAACCCAAAACAAACCCAACCCAAACCCCGAAACAAAACCCGACAAACCCCAAACCCCAAACACAACCCCAAACAAAACCCCAAACAAAACCCCGACAAACCCAAACAAAACCCAACAAACCCCAAAACAAACCCCAAAACCCCAAAACAAAACCCAAAACAAACCCAACAAAAACCCAAAACAAACCCCAAACAAACCCAAAAACCCCAAAACCCAAACAAACCCGACAAACCCAAAACAAACCCAAAACAAAACCCCAAACAAACCCCGACAACCCCAAAACAAACCCCAAAACAAACCCCAAAAACAAACCCAAACAAACCAAAACAAACCCAACAAACCCCAAACAAACCCCGAACAAACCCCAACAAAACCCCAACAAACCCCAAAACAAACCCCAACAAACCCCAACAAACCCCAAAACAACAAACAAACCCAACAAACCCCAAAAACCCCAAAAACCCCAAAACAAACCCCAAAACCCAAAACCCAAACCCCAAAAACAAACCCCAACAAACCCCGACAAACCCCAAAACAAACAAACCCCAACAAACCCCAACAAACCCCAAAACAAACCCCAACAAACCCGACAAACCCCAAAAACCCCAACCCCAACAAACCCCGACAAACCCCAAACAACCCCGAACAAACCCAAAACCCCAACAAACCCCAACAAACCCCGACAAACCCCAACAAACCCCACAAACCCCGAACAAAACCCCAACAAACCCCAAAAAACCCCAAACAAACCCCAAAACAAACCCCAACGAAACCCAAAACAAACCCCAACAAACCCCAAAACAAACCCCAAAAACCCCAAAACCCCCAACAAACCCAAAACAAACCCAACAAACCCAAAACAAAACCCCAAACAAAACCCCAACAAACCCCGAACAAACCCCAAAACAAACCCCAAAAAAAACAAACCCCAAAACAAACCCCAACAAACCCAAACAAACCCAAAAACCCCAAAAACAAACCCCAACAAACCCCAAAACAAACCCCAAAACAAACCCCAAAACCCCAAAACAAAACCCCAACAAACAAACCGACAAACCCAAAAAAACCCAACAAACCCCAACAAACCCAAAAACCCCAAACCCCAAAACAAACCCCAACAAACCCCGACAAACCCAAAACAAACCCCAACAAACCCCAACAAAACCCCAAAACAAACAAAAACCCCAACAAACCCCAAACAAACCCCGAAAACCCCGACAAACCCCAAAACAAAAACCCCAAAACAAAACCCCAAAACAAACCCCAACAAACCCCAAAACCCCAACAAACCCCACAAACCCCAAAACAAACCCCAAAAACCCCCGACCAAAACCCAAACCCCAAAACAAACCCCAAAACAAACCCCGAACAAACCCCAACAACCCAAAAACAAACCCCAAACAAAACCCCGAACAAACCCAAAACAAACCCCAAACCCCAACAAACCCCAAAACAAACCCAACAACAAACCCCAAAAACAAACCCCAAAACAACCCCAAAACAACCCCCAACAAACCCCAAAACAAACCCCAAACAAACCCCGAACAAACCCAAAACAAAACCCCAACAAACCCCAAAACAAACCCAACAAACCCCAAAACAAAACCCAACAAACCCAAAACAAACCCCCAAAACCCCAAAACAAAACCCCAACAACCCCAACAACCCCAAAACAAACCCCAAAACAAACCCCAACAAAACCCCAAAAAACAAAACCCCAAAACAAACCCCCAACAAACCCCAAAAACCCCAACAACCCCAAAACAAACCCCAACAAACCCCGAACAAAACCCAAAACAAACCCAAAACCAAACCCCAAACAAACCCCAAAAAACCCCAACCCCAACAAACCCAAACAAAACCCCAACAAACCCCAAAACAAACCCAAAACAAACCCAAAACAAAACCCCAACAAACCCCAAAACCCAAACCCCAACAAAACAAACCCAAAAAACAAACCCCAAAACCCCAAACAAACCCCAACAAACCCCAACAAACCCCAAAACAAACCCCGACAAACCCAAAACCCCAAAACAAACCCCCAACAAACCCCGACAAACCCAAAACAAACCCCGACAAACCCCAACAAACCCCAACAAACCCCAAAACAAACCCCAAAACCCCAAAACCCCCAAAACAAACCCCAAAAACAAACCCCAAAACAAAACCCCAAAACAAACCCCAACAAACCCCAAAACAAACCCCAAAAACAAACCCCCAACGACAAACCCAAAACAAACCCCGACAAACCCAAACAAACCCCGAAAACAAACCCCAACAAACCCAAAACAAACCCCAAAAAACCCCAAAACCCCAAAACAAACCCCAACAAACCCCAACAAACCCCAAAACAAACCCCAAAAACCCCAAAACAAACCCCAACAAACCCCGAAAAACCCAAAACAAACCCCAAACAAAAAACCCCAACAAACCCCAAACAAACCCCAACAAAACCCCGACAAACCCCAACGAACCCAAACCCCGAAAACCCCAACAAACCCAACAAACCCCAAACAAACCCCAAAACCCAAAAACCCCAAAAAAAACCCAAAACAAACCCCAACAAACCCCCCCAACAAACCCCAAAACAAACCCCAAAACAAACCCCAACAAACCCCAAAACAAACCCCAACAAACCCCAACAAAACCCCAACAAAACAAAAAAACCCCAAACCCAAAACAAACCCCAACAAAACCCCGAACAAACCCCAAAACAAAACAAACCCAAAACAAACCCCAAACAAACCCAAACCCCAAAACCCCAAAACCCCAAAACAAACCCCAAAAAACAACCCCAACAACCCCGACAAACCCCGACAAACCCCAACAAACCCCAAACAAACCCCGACAAACCCCAAAACAAACCCCAACGAAACCCAACCCAAAAACCCAAAAAAACCCCGAACAAACCCCGACAAACCCCAACAAAACAAACCCCGAACAAACCCCAACAAACCCCAACAAAACCCAAACAAACCCCACAAACCCCAACCCAAAAAACAACAAACCCCAACAAACCCCAACAAACCCCAAACCCCAAACCCCACAAACCCCGACAAACCCCAACAAACCCCAACAAAACCCCGACAACCCAAACAAAACCCCAAAACAAACCCAACCCCAAAAAACAAACCCCAAAAACCCCAACAAAACCCCAACAAACCCAACAAACCCCGACAAACCCCAAAACCCCAAACCCCAAAACCCCAAAAAACAAACCCCAAAACAAACCCCAACAAACCCCGACAAAACCCAAAACAAACCCCGACAAACCCAACAAACCCCGACAAACCCCAAAACACCCAAAACCCCCAACAAAACCCGACAAACCCCAACAAACCCCAAAACAAACCCCAAAAACAAACCCCAAACAAACCCCAAAACAAACCCCGACAAACCCCAACAAAACAAAACCCCACAAACCCCAAAACCCCAACAACCCCCAAAACAAACCCCAAAACAAACCCCAAACAAACCCCAACAACAAACCCCAACGAACAAACCCCAAAACAAACCCCAACAAACCCCAAAACCCCAAAAAACCCCAAAAAACCCCCAAAACCCCAAAACAAACCCAAAAACCCCAAAACAAACCCCAAAACAAACCCCAACAAACCCCAAAAAAAACCCCAAAACCCAAAACCCCCAACAACCCCACAACCCCAACAACCCCGACAAACCCCAATGAACCCCACAAACCCAAACCCCAAAACAAACCCCAACGAAACCCCAAAACAAACCCCAACAAACCCCAAAACAAACCCCAAAACAACCCCAAAAACCCCAAAACAAACCCAACGAACCCAACAACCCCAACAAACAACCCAAAACAAACCCCAACCCAAACAAACCCCGACAAACCCAAAACCCAAACAAACCCCAACAAACCCCAAAAACCCCACAAACCCAAAACCCCAAAACCCCAAAACAAACCCAACAACCCCGAAAACCCCAAAACAAACTCCAACAAACCCCAACAAACCCCAAAACAAACCCCAACAAACCCCAAAACAAACCCCAACAAACCCCAAAACAAACCCCAACGAACCCCAAAACAAACCCCAACGAACCCCAAAACAAACCCCAACGAACCCCAAAACAAACCCCAAAACAAACCCCAACGAACCCCAAAAAAAAAACCCCAACGAACCCCAAAACAAACCCCAACGAACCCCAAAACAAACCCCAACGAACCCCAAAACAAACCCCAAAACAAACTCCAACGAACCCCAAAACAAACCCCAACGAATCCCAAAAATGAAGAAATGAAACACTCACGAGTCGTTGAGCTCCTCCACAAAACCTCCAACTGACGAAACCAAACCTGAACCACAGAGACCTGGTTTAGTCCTGGTTTAGTCCTGGTTCAGTCCTGGTTTAGTCCTGGTTTAGTCCTGGTTTAGTCCTGGTTTAGTCCTGGTTTAGTCCTGGTTTAGTCTGGTAGTCCTCAGTCCTGGTTCAGTCCTGGTTCAGTCCAGTCCTGGTTGAGTCTTGGTTTAGTCCTGGTTTAGTCCCGGTTCAGTCCTAGTTTAGACCTGGTTTAGTCCTGGTTGAGATCCCAAACAGAACTTCCCATGTTGATATGATCCTGCCATGCTGTCAACCACATGGACTAAACCAGGACTAAACCAGAACTCAACCAGAACTAAACTAGGACTAATCCAGGACTAGAGCCTAACCCAGTCCACAGTGAGTCCTGGTCCGGTCCGGTCGGGTCCTGGTTCTGATGCAGACCTGAGAGGACGAGGAGCAGACACACGAGAGACGCCATGGTCCTGGTCCGGTCTGAGCCCGATCTAATCCTGGTCCTAATCCTGGTCCTAATCCTGACGCCCTGGATTATTCAAAAGGCACAACTTTATTTACACAGTCAGGACAGGACCAGGACTAGACCAGGTCTAAACAAGGACTAAAACAGGACTAAACCAGAACTAAACCTGGTCTAAAACAGGACTAAACCAGGACTAAACAAGGACTAAACCAGGACTAGACCAGGACTGAGGAATGACCCTGATCTGAGTCTCTTCTGTTTGTGTCAAAGTGTTTTTATTTATTTGTATGAGTTAAATCATAAATATAATATTTAATCAAAATATATAATCATATTTAATCATATACAACACACACATTTACATATCAATGTGTCTATATTTGTGTATATATCTATATATATATATATATATATATATATATTATATATATTATTATATATATATATATATATATATATATATTTATATATATTTGCGTATCTCTGCACACAAACACTTGGGTCTGGTTTTGTTTTTATTGATTTTATTGAAAACACAAAATGGCGGCGTTTCCTTTTTTGCAGAAGTGAGACGTTTCTCTCGTCTGATTGGTCTACAGCAGGCAGGGGGCGGGGCCGACTCAGAGGCAGAGCCAATCACAGCGCAGGTCACTTCTTCTTGGCAGATTTGGCGACTTCAGTTTTGGTGACGCTTTTCACGACTCCCACGGCAACGGTGACCTTCATGTCCCTGACGGCGAAGCGCCCTGAGACCACAGACCGAGTTTAGTTTAGACCGGGGTTAGACCAGGTTTAGACCGGGGTTAGACCACAGACCGAGTTTAGACCGGGTTTAGACCGGGGTTAGACCACAGACCGAGTTTAGACCGGGTTTAGACCGGGGTTAGACCAGGTTTAGACCGGGTTTAGACCGGGGTTAGACCACAGAGACCGAGTTTAGACCGGTTAGACCGGGTTTAGACCGGGGTTAGACCAGGTTTAGACCGGGGTTAGACCAGGTTTAGACCGGGTTTAGACCGGGGTTAGACCGGGGTTAGACCAGGTTTAGACCGGGTTTAGACCGTTTTAGACCAGGTTTAGACTGGGGTTAGATCAGAGACTGGGTTTAGACCGAGGTTAGACCACAGACCGGGTTTAGACCGGGGTTTTAGACCGGGGTTAGACCAGAGACCAGCTTTAGACTAGAGACCGGGTTTAGACAGAGTTTAGACCAGGGTTAGACCAGAAACCAAGTTTAGACCAGAGACTGGGTTTAGACCAGGTTTAGATCAGAGATTGGGGTTAGACCTGTTGAAGTCCTGGTCTAGTCCTGGTCTAGTCCTGGTCTAGTCCTGGTCTAGTCCTGTTGGGTCTAGTCCTGTTGTAGTCCTGGTCTAGTCCTGTTGTAGTCCTGGTCTAGTTCTGTTGTAGTCCTGGTCTAGTCCTGTTGTAGTCCTGGTCTGTTGTAGTCCTGTTGTAGTCCTGGTCTAGTCCTGTTGTAGTCCTGGTCTAGTCCTGTTGTAGTCCTGTTGTAGTCCTGGTCTAGTCCTGTTGTAGTCCTGGTCTAGTCTGTTGTAGTCCTGGTCTAGTCCTGTTGTAGTCCTGTCCTAGTTGTTGTAGTCCTGGTCCTAGTCCTGTTGTAGTCCTGGTCCTAGTCCTGTTGTAGTCCTGTCTAGTAGTCCTGTTGTAGTCCTGGTCTAGTCCTGTCTAGTTGTAGTCCTGTTGTAGTCCTGGTCTAGTCCTGTTGTAGTCCTGTTGTAGTCCTGTAGTCCTGGTCTAGTCCTGTTGTAGTCCTGGTCTAGTCCTGTTGTAGTCCTGGTCTAGTCCTGGTCTAGTCCTGTTGTAGTCCTGGTCTTGTCCTGTTGTAGTCCTGTTGTAGTCCTGTTGTAGTCCTGTCTAGTTCCTGTGTAGTCCTGTTGTAGTCCTGTAGTCCTGTTGTAGTCCTGGTTTAGTCCTGGTCTAGTCCTGGTCCTAGTCCTGTCTGTTGTAGTCCTGGTCTAGTTCTGTTGTAGTCCTGGTCTGTCCTGTTGTAGTCCTGTCTAGTCCTGTCTAGTTGTCCTAGTCCTGTTGTAGTCCTGTCCCTGTCTGTAGTCCTGTCTGTAGTCCTGTCTAGTCTGTTCCTGTTGTAGTCCTGGTCTAGTCCTGTTGTAGTCCTGGTCTAGTCCTGTTGTAGTCCTGGTCTAGTTCTGTTGTAGTCCTGTTGTAGTCCTGTTGTAGTCCTGTTGTAGTCCTGGTCTAGTCCTGTTGTAGTCCTGGTCTAGTCCTGTTGTAGTCCTGTTGTAGTCCTGTTGTAGTCCTGGTCTAGTCCTGTTGTAGTCCTGTTGTAGTCCTGTTGTAGTCCTGGTCTAGTCCTGTTGTAGTCCTGGTCTAGTCCTGGTCTAGTCCTGTTCTAGTCCTGTTAGTCCTGTAGTCCTGGTCTAGTCCTGTTGTAGTCCTAGTCCTAGTCTGTTGTAGTCCTGGTCTAGTCCTGGTGTCCTGTAGTCCTGGTCTAGTCCTGTTGTAGTCCTGTTTCCTGTCTAGTAGTCCTGTTGTCCTGTCCTGTTGTAGTCCTGGTCTAGTCCTGGTCTAGTCCTGGTCTAGTCTGTTGTAGTCCTGGTCTAGTCCTGTTGTAGTCCTGTTGTAGTCCTGGTCTAGTCCTGTTGTAGTCCTGGTCTAGTCCTGTTGTAGTCCTGTTGTAGTCCTGGTCTAGTCCTGTCCTGTTGTTGTAGTCCTGGTCTAGTTCTGTTGTAGTCCTGTTGTAGTCCTGGTCTAGTCCTGTGTCCTAGTCCTGTTGTAGTCCTGGTCTACTGTTGTAGTCCTGTCTGTTAGTCCTGGTCCTGTTGTAGTCCTCTAGTCTGTCTGTAGTCCTGTCTGTAGTCCTGTTGTAGTCCTGTTGTCCTAGTCCTGTTGTAGTCCTGGTCCCTGAGTCCTGTTGTAGTCCTGGTCTAGTCCTGTCTAGTCCTGTTAGTAGTCCTGTTGTCTGGTCTAGTCCTGTTGTAGTCCTGTTGTAGTCCTGTTGTAGTCCTGTTGTAGTCCTGGTCTAGTGTCCTGTCTAGTCCTGGTCTAGTCCTGGTCTAGTCTAGTCCTGTTGTAGTCCTGGTCTAGTAGTCCTGTCCTGTTGTCCTGTCTGTAGTCCTGGTCAGTCCTGTTGTCCTGGTCCTAGTCTTGTCCTGTTGTAGTCCTGGTCTAGTCCTGTTGTAGTCCTGTTGTAGTCCTGGTCTAGTCCTGGTCTAGTCCTGGTCTAGTCCTGGTCTCACCGAGGGCGGGGAACTCGCTGAAGGCCTCGACCACGAGAGGTTTGTTGGGCTTGAGCAGGACGATGGCGGCGTCTCCGGACTTGATGAGGGTGGGTTTTTCCTCCAGGACGACGCCCGAGCGTCGATCCAACTTCTGCTGCAGCTCAGAGAACTTACAGCTGATGTGAGCCGTGTGACAGTCGAGCACCGGAGAGTAACCGACCCGGATCCCCCCGGGGTGCTGCATCACGATCACCTGCGGGCACAGGACCACGGTAGGACGCATGTAGGACTAATGTGGGTCTACAGTAGGACTCATGTGGGACTAATGTAGGACTAATGTAGGACTAATGTGGGACTAATGTGGGTCTACAGTAGGACTCATGTAGGACTAATGTGGGACTAATGTAGGACTAATGTGGGTCTACAGTAGGACTAATGTAGGACTAATGTGGGTCTACAGTAGGACTCATGTGGGACTAATGTGGGTCTACAGTAGGACTCATGTGGGACTAATGTGGGTCTACAGTAGGACTCATGTGGGACTAATGTGGGTCTACAGTAGGACTCATGTGGGACTAATGTGGGTCTACAGTAGGACTCATGTGGGACTAATGTGGGTCTACAGTAGGACTAATGTAGGACTAATGTAGAACTAATGTAGGACTAATGTGGGTCTACCGTAGGACTCATGTGGGACTAATGTGGGTCTACAGTAGGACTCATGTGGGACTAATGTAGGACTAATGTAGGACTAATGTGGGACTAATGTGGGACTAATGTAGGACTAATGTGGGTCTACAGTAGGACTCATGTGGGACTAATGTGGGTCTACAGTAGGACTCATGTGGGACTAATGTGGGACTAATGTAGGACTAATGTGGGTCTACAGTAGGACTCATGTGGGACTAATGTGGGTCTACAGTAGGACTCATGTGGGACTAATGTGGGACTCATGTAGGACTAATGTGGGTCTACAGTAGGACTCATGTAGGACTAATGTGGGACTAGTGTGGGACTAATGTAGGACTAATGTAGGTCTACAGTAGGACTAATGTGGGACTAATGTGGGACTAATGTAGGACTAATGTGGGACTAGTGTGGGACTAATGTAGGACTAATGTAGGTCTACAGTAGGACTAATGTAGGACTAATGTGGGTCTACAGTAGGACTAATGTAGGACTAATGTGGGTCTACCGTAGGACTCATGTGGGACTAATGTGGGACTAATGTAGGACTAATGTGGGACTAGTGTGGGACTAATGTAGGACTAATGTAGGTCTACAGTAGGACTAATGTAGGACTAATGTGGGACTACAGTAGGACTCATGTAGGACTAATGTGGGTCTACAGTAGGACTCATGTAGGACTAATGTGGGTCTACCGTAGGACTCATGTGGGACTAATGTAGGACTAATATAGGACTAATGTAGGACTAATGTAGAACTAGTGTAGGACTAATGTGGGTCTACAGTAGGACTCATGTGGGACTAATGTGGGTCTACCGTAGGACTCATGTGGGACTAATGTAGGACTAATATAGGACTAATGTAGGACTAATGTAGAACTAGTGTAGGACTAATGTAGGACTAATGTGGGTCTACAGTAGGACTCATGTGGGACTAATGTGGGTCTACAGTAGGACTCATGTGGGACTAATGTGGGACTACAGTAGGACTAATGTGGGACTAGTGTGGGACTAATGTAGGACTAATGTAGGACTACTGTAGAACTAATGTAGGACTAGTGTAGGACTAATGTAGGACTAATGTGGGACTAATGTAGGACTCATGTGGGACTAGTGTGGGACTAATGTAGGACTAATATAGGACTAATGTAGGACTAATGTAGAACTAGTGTAGGACTAATGTGGGACTAATGTAGGACTAATGTGGGACTAATGTGGGACTAGTGTGGGACTAGTGTGGGACTAATGTAGGACTAATGTAGGACTACTGTAGAACTAATGTAGGACTAGTGTAGGACTAATGTGGGACTAATGTAGGACTAATGTGGGACTAGTGTGGGACTAGTGTGGGACTAATGTAGGACTAATGTAGACTACTGTAGAACTAATGTAGGACTAGTGTAGGACTAATGTAGGACTAATGTGGGACTAATGTAGGACTAATATAGGACTAATGTGGGACTAGTGTGGGACTAATGTAGGACTAATGTAGGACTAGTGTAGGACTAATGTGGGACTAATGTAGGACTAATGTAGGACTAGTGTAGGACTAATGTGGGTCTACAGTAGGATTAATGTAACCAGGGTAAAGTTCAATTCCCTTATCCAGATCCAACCCAGGTTTTCCCCTCTCCACATGATTTGTCACCACCCATCACACCGCCCATTTCACCAATTATCCAATCACACATCCCCAATCAGAGTATATAAGGTCCTGACTTCTCTCTCCTCAGTTGTGTGGGAGAGGAGCCAGGGGACAGAGCTTGAAGGTCAGTACATCTACACTGTTTCATTTCAAATTCTCATGTTCCCATTTTTTAACTTCACCATTCACATCTTTTAGAACCAGACCCGGTATGCAACATTGTCACGTGTGCTTTCAATACACTAAAACACTGCTGAACTGGTGAGTTAGAAGTGAACCCTGTTTATTGATTTATTTAATGGCTTTTGTTCTTGTGGCTTTGTCTGCTAGTGCTAATGCTAGAGCTAGCATGCTAATGCTAAGGTTAGCCATTTTGTCAGGGCCCTATGTCTTGCTCTATGTATCATTGTCCATGTTAGCTTAGCATTAGCATGCTAACAGCTAGCATGCTAATGCTAACATGTACTCCACATGATTAGTTGTATCTTGTGACTGACTTATGAATTCTTGTAATGTTAATGTCAATGCTAACGCTAACTGAAAATATGTTCTAAGAGGCCTTTTGTTAATGTGCACACAGGCCATGGTGCCCAAACTTGGGTTCAAATTGATGGCGAGCTAGGAACTGTCCTTTTGAGAGCTTCAGTCTGGTAGGAGGCTAACCGCCTGTCGTCTGTCTCCACCTACTCCAGCTGCCTCCACTACAAACTATTCAATCAACCGCGCTTTATGGACATCATACAACCTCAAAATAATTCATACTGGACTTTAAAGTAGTTTGGACTCTGTTCACACCCTGGGCAACCAGACCCAGTTCGCAAGGACATTTAACTGAATTGTTTGATTTTTGTTGCTGCAGCTGTTGTATATTTTGTTGTCTCACTTTCTACCTGTATAATACACTTTATTCATTTTCAACAAATCCCATGTCTCAATTTACTGCCCCTGCCTCCAGTAGCCTTACTTAGAATCTTCTGATCATTCAACTTTGCTAATTACACATAATAATCATAACAGTTATTACATGATCATAACACAGTTACTACATGGTTATTACAGTTACAATCATTTCATATTCGTTACACTTTTATTACCTAAGTAATAAGCAACCACTTGTTACATTAATGTGGGACTAGTGTGGGACTAGTGTGGGACTAGTGTGGGACTAATGTAGGACTACAGTAGGACTAATGTGGGACTAGTGTGGGACTACAGTAGGACTAATGTAGGACTAATGTGGGACTAATGTAGGACTACAGTAGGACTAATGTGGGACTAGTGTGGGACTACAGTAGGACTAATGTAGGACTAATGTAGGACTAATGTGGGACTAATGTAGGACTACAGTAGGACTAATGTGGGACTAATGTGGGACTAGTGTGGGACTAGTGTGGGACTAATGTAGGACTAATGTGGGACTAGTGTAGGACTAAGGTGGGACTACAGTAGGACTAAGGTGGGACTAATGTGGGACTAGTGTGGGACTAATGTAGGACTCATGTAGGACTCATGTGGGACTAGTGTGGGACTAGTGTGGGACTAGTGTAGGACTAATGTGGGACTAGTGTAGGACTAAGGTGGGACTACAGTAGGACTAATGTGGGACTAATGTGGGACTAATGTGGGACTAATGTAGGACTACAGTAGGACTAATGTGGGACTAGTGTGGGACTAGTGTAGGACTAATGTAGGACTAATGTAGGACTAATGTGGGACTAATGTAGGACTAATGTAGGACTACAGTAGGACTAATGTGGGACTAATGTGGGACTAATGTAGGACTACAGTAGGACTAATGTGGGACTAGTGTGGGACTAGTGTGGGACTAATGTAGGACTAATGTAGGACTAATGTGGGACTAATGTAGGACTACAGTAGGACTAATGTGGGACTAATGTGGGACTAATGTGGGACTAGTGTGGGACTAGTGTGGGACTAATGTGGGACTAGTGTAGGACTAAGGTGGGACTACAGTAGGACTATAGTGGGACTAATGTGGGACTAATGTGGGACTAGTGTGGGACTAGTGTGGGACTAGTGTGGGACTAGTGTAGGACTAATGTGGGTCTACAGTAGGACTAAGGTGGGACTAATGTGGGACTAATGTAGGACTAGTGTGGGACTAATGTAGGACTAATGTAGGACTAATGTGGGACTAGTGTGGGACTAATGTGGGACTAGTGTGGGACTAATGTGGGACTAGTGTGGGACTAATGTAGGACTCATGTAGGACTAATGTGGGACTAGTGTGGGACTAATGTAGGACTAGTGTGGGACTAATGTAGGACTCATGTAGGACTAATGTGGGACTAGTGTGGGACTAATGTGGGACTAGTGTGGGACTAATGTAGGACTAATGTGGGACTAGTGTAGGACTCATGTAGGACTAGTGTGGGACTAGTGTGGGACTAGTGTGGGACTACAGTAGGACTAATGTAGAACTAATGTGGGACTAATGTAGGACTACAGTAGGACTAATGTGGGACTAATGTGGGACTAATGTGGGACTAGTGTGGGACTAGTGTGGGACTAATGTGGGACTAGTGTAGGACTAAGGTGGGACTACAGTAGGACTAAAGTGGGACTAATGTGGGACTAATGTGGGACTAATGTAGGACTCATGTAGGACTCATGTGGGACTAATGTGGGACTAATGTAGGACTCATGTAGGACTCATGTGGGACTAGTGTGGGACTAGTGTGGGACTAGTGTGGGACTAGTGTGGGACTAGTGTAGGACTAATGTGGCTCTACAGTAGGACTAAGGTGGGACTAATGTGGGACTAATGTAGGACTAATGTGGGACTAGTGTGGGACTAATGTAGGACTCATGTAGGACTAATGTGGGACTAGTGTGGGACTAATGTGGGACTAGTGTGGGACTAATGTGGGACTAGTGTGGGACTAATGTAGGACTCGTGTAGGACTAATGTGGGACTAGTGTAGGACTCATGTAGGACTAATGTGGGACTAATGTGGGACTAGTGTGGGACTAATGTAGGACTAGTGTGGGACTAATGTAGGACTCATGTAGGACTAATGTGGGACTAGTGTAGGACTAATGTGGGTCTACAGTAGGACTAATGTGGGACTAGTGTGGGACTAATGTAGGACTAGTGTGGGACTAATGTAGGACTCGTGTAGGACTAATGTGGGACTAGTGTAGGACTCATGTAGGACTAATGTGGGACTAGTGTGGGACTAATGTGGGACTAGTGTAGGACTCATGTAGGACTCATGTAGGACTAATGTGGGACTAGTGTGGGACTAATGTAGGACTCATGTAGGACTAATGGAGTACAGTCCCCCCCACCTGGGCGGTGAAGCTCTCGGCCTCGGCAGGAGGACAGTTCTTGGAGTCTCCGGCGACGTTCCCTCTCTTGATGTCCTTGATGGAGACGTTCTTGACGTTGAAGCCCACGTTGTCTCCGGGCAGAGCTTCGGTCAGGGCCTGGTGGTGCATCTCCACGGACTTCACCTCCGCCGTGACCGACATCGGAGCGAAGTTCACCACCATCCCCGGCTTCAGCACGCCAGACTCCACCCGCCCCACCGGGACCGTGCCGATCCCTGAGGGCCAAGAGGAGGACGAAGATGAAGAGGAGGAGGATGAAGAGGATGAAGAGGAGGAGGATGAAGAGGAGGACGAAGATGAAGAGGAGGATGAAGAGGAGGATGAAGAGGAGGATGAAGAGGAGGATGAAGAGGAAGATGAAGAGGAGGATGAAGAGGAGGATGAAGAGGAGGATGAGGAGGAGGAGGATGAGGAGGATGAGGAGGAGGAGGAGGATGAAGAGGAGGAGGAGGATGAGGAGGAAGAGGAGGAGGATGAAGAGGAGGAGGAGGATGAAGAGGAGGAGGAGGATGAAGAGGAGGAATGAGGAGGAGGAGGATGAGGATGAGGAGGATGAGGAGGATGAAGAGGAGGAGGATGAAGAGGAGGAGGATGAAGAGGAGGAGGAGGAGGAGGATGAGGAGGAGGATGAAGGAGGAGGAGGAGGATGAAGAGGAGGAGGATGAAGAGGAGGAGGATGAAGAGGAGGAGGAGGATGAGGAGGAGGAGGATGATGAGGAGGATGAAGGAGGAGGAAGAGGAGGAGGATGAAGAGGAGGATGAGGAGGAGGAGGATGGAGGAGGAGGAGGAGAGGAGGAGGAGGAAGAGGAGGAGGATGAAGGAGGAAGAGGAGGAGGATGAGGAGGAGGAGGAGGAGGATGAAGAGGAGGAGGAGGATGAAGAGGAGGAGGATGAAGAGGAGGAGGATGAAGAGGAGGAGGAGGATGAGGAGGAGGAGGAGGATGAGGAGGAGGAGGATGAGGAGGAGGAAAGAGGAGGAGGATGAAGAGGAGGAGGATGAAGAGGAGGATGAAGAGGATGAAGAGGAGGAGGATGAAGAGGAGGACGAAGATGAAGAGGAGGATGAAGAGGAGGATGAAGAGGAGGATGAAGAGGAGGAGGATGAAGAGGAGGATGATGAAGAGGAGGATGAAGAGGAGGAGGATGAAGAGGAGGATGAGGAGGAGGAGGAGGATGAAGAGGAGGATGGATGAGGAAGAGGAGGATGATGAGAGGAGGATGATGAGGATGAAGAGGAGGATGAGGAGGAGGAGGACCTGCGATCTTGTAGACGTCCTGCAGGGGGAGCCGTAGAGGTTTCTGTACAGGTCGAACTGGAGGTTCCATCAAATCAATGGCCTCAAGAAGAGTCTTCCCCCCTTTAAGAAAACCTTTGTACCAGGGCATCTGGACCAAACACACACATGGACCGTACACACATGGACTATATACACACATGGACTATATACACATGGACCGTACACACATGGACCGTACACACATGGACCGTACACACATGGACCGTACACACATGGACTGTACACACATGGACTATATACACACATGGACTATATACACACATGGACTATATACACATGGACCGTACACACATGGACCGTACACACATGGACCGTACACACATGGACTGTACACACATGGACTATATACACACATGGACTATATACACACATGGACTATATACACATGGACCGTACACACATGGACCGTACACACATGGACCGTACACACATGGACCGTACACACATGGACTGTACACACATGGACTATATACACACATGGACTATATACACACATGGACTATATACACACATGGACTATATACACATGGACCGTACACACATGGACTATATACACACATGGACTATATACACACATGGACTATATACACACATGGACTATATACACACATGGACCGTACACACATGGACTATATACAAACATGGACCGTACACACACATGGACCGTACACACACATGGAACGTACACACACATGGAACGTACACACACATGGACTATACACACACGGACCGTACACACACGGACCGTACACACACGGACCGTACACACATGGACCGTACACAGACTATACACACATGGACTATACACACATGGACTATACACACATGAACTACACACACATGGACTATACACACATGGACTATACACACATGGACTATACACACATGGACCGTACACACATGGACCTACACACATGGACCGTACACACATGGACCGTACACACATGGACCGTACACACACGGACTATACACACACGGACTATACACACACGGACTATACACACATGGACTATACACACACAGACTATACAGAGTAGTGTGTGCCTGTGTGTATGTACCTTTGTGTGCATGTGTATTTGTTCTTTTGCGTATGCGCCCTTGTGTGTGTATGTGTGTATGTGCCCATGTGTATGTGTGTATGTACCTTGTGTATGTGTCCGTGTGTGTGTACGTGCCTGTGTGTGTATGTGCCCGTGTGTGTGTGTGTGTATATGTGTGTGTATATGTGCCAGTGTGTGTGTATGTGCCCGTGTGTGTGTTTGTGTATGTGTGTGTTTGTGTGTGTGTATGTGCCCGTGTGTGTGTGTGTGTGTGTGTGTGTATGTGCCCGTGTGTATGTGCCGGTGTGTGTGTGTGTATGTGTGTGTGTGTGTGTGTATGTGCCCGTGTGTGTGTTTGTGTATGTGTGTGTGTCCGTGTGTGTGTTTGTGTGTGTGTATGTGCCCGTGTGTGTGTGTATGTGTGTGTGTGTGTGTATGTGCCCGTGTGTGTGTGTGTGTGTCCCGTGTGTGTGTGTGTATGTGTGTGTGTGTATGTGCCCGTGTGTGTGTGTTTGTGTGTGTGTGTGTGTGTGTGTGTATGTGCCCGTGTGTGTGTATGTTCCCGTGTGTTTACGTTGGTAGAGGGCTCCAGCATGTTGTCTCCGTTGAACCCGCTGATGGGCACCACGGGCACGTTTCCAGAGTTATACCCGATCTTCTTGATGTAGATGAGCACCTCCTTCTGGATTTCTTGGAATCGACTTTCGGAAAACTCGACCGTGTCCATCTTATTGACGCCGATGATGAGCTGTTTGACCCCGAGCGTGAAGGCGAGGAGGGCGTGTTCCCGCGTCTGCCCGTTTTTACTCAAACCCGTCTCAAACTCGCCTTTACTCGCCGACACGATCAACACCGCCACGTCCGCCTGCACACACACGGGTACACTGAACCCCCGGCACACACGGGTACACTGAACCCCCGGCACACATAGGCACACACACACACACGGGTACACTGAACCCCAGGCACACACGGGTACACACACACACACGGGTACACACACACACACACACACACACACGGGTACACTGAACCCCCGGCACACATAGGCACACACACACACACGGGTACACACATACACACACACACGGGTACACTGAACCCCAGGCACACACGGGTACACACACACACACACACACACACACACGGGTACACTGAACCCCAGGCACACACGGGTACACACACACACATACACACACGGGCACCCTCTGACCCCCTAACTCTTACCCCTCCTGACCCCATTGACCTCCTCTGACCCTCTGACCCCTCTGACCCCCTCTGACCCTCTGACCCCTCTGACCCCTCTGACCCCTGGTACCTGTGAGGTTAAGGTGATCATGTTCTTGATAAAGTCTCGGTGTCCCGGCCCCTCTGACCCCTCTGACCCCCTCTGACCCCTCTGACCCCCTCTGACCCCTCTGACCCCCTCTGGCCCCTCTGACCCCTCTGACCCCCTCTAACCCTCTGTTTCTGACCCCTCTGACCCTCTCTGACCCCTGGTACCTGTGAGGTTCCGGTGATCATGTTCTTGATAAAGTCTCGGTGTCCCGGCCCCTCTGACTCCTCTGACTCCCTCTGACCCCTCTGACCCCCTCTTACCCCCTCTGACCCTTCTGACCCCTCTGACTCTTCTGACCCCCTCTGCCCCCTCTGCCCCCTCTGACCCCCTCTGACCCCCTCTGACCCTTCTGACCCCTCTGACTCTTCTGCCCCCCTCTGACCCCTTTGACCCCCTCTGACCCCCTCTGACCCTTCTGACCCCTCTGACCTTCTGCCCCCTCTGACCCCTTTGACCCCTCTGACCCCCTCTAACCCTCTGTTTCTAACCCTCTCTGACCCCTCTAACCCTCTCTGACCCCTCTGACCCTCTCTGACCCTGGTACCTGTGAGGTTCCGGTGATCATGTTCTTGATAAAGTCTCGGTGACCCGGGGCGTCGATCACCGTCACAGAAAACTTTTTGGTGAGAAACTTCCAGAGCGCGATGTCGATGGTGATGCCGCGCTCGCGCTCGCTCTTCAACTTATCCATCACCCAGGCGTATTTAAACGAACCTTTACCCATCTGAAAACAGAGGGTCAGAAACAGAGGGTCAGAAACAGAGGGAGGGGTCAGAAACAGAGAGGGGGTCAGAAACAGAGGGGAGGTCAGAAACAGAAGGAGGGGTCAGAAACAGAGGGTCAGAAACAGAGGGTCAGAAACAGAGGGTCAGAACAGAGGGTCAGAAACAGAGGGGGGTCAGAAACAGAGGGTCAGAAACAGAGGGTCAGAAACAGAGGGTCAGAAACAGAGAGGGGGTCAGAAACAGAGGGTCAGAAACAGAGGGAGGTCAGAAACAGAGGGTCAGAAACAGAGGGTCAGAAACAGAGGGTCAGAAACAGAGGGTCAGAAACAGAAGGAGGGGTCAGAAACAGAAGGAGGGGTCAGAAACAGAGGGTCAGAAACAGAGGGTCAGAAACAGAGGGAGGGGTCAGAAACAGAAGGAGGGGTCAGAAACAGAGGGTCAGGTCAGAAAACAGAGGGAGGTCAGAAACAGAAGGAGGGGTCAGAAACAGAGGGAGGGTCAGAAACAGAGGGTCAGAAACAGAAGGAGGGGTCAGAAACAGAGGGAGGTCAGAAACAGAAGGAGGGGTCAGAAACAGAGGGGGTCAGAAACAGAAGGAGGGGTCAGAAACAGAGGGGAGGTCAGAAACAGAAGGAGGGGTCAGAAACAGAGGGGGGTCAGAAACAGAAGGAGGGGTCAGAAACAGAGGGGAGGTCAGAAACAGAAGGAGGGGTCAGAAACAGAGGAGGGGTCAGAAACAGAGGGTCAGAAACAGAGGGGAGGTCAGAAACAGAAGGAGGGGTCAGAAACAGAAGGAGGGGTCAGAAACAGAGGGTCAGAAGGAGGGATCAGAAACAGAGGGAGGGGTCAGAAACAGAGGGAGGGGTCAGAAACAGAGGGGAGGTCAGAAACAATAGGAGGGGTCAGAAACAGAGGGGGGGTCAGAAACAGAGGGAGGGGTCAGAAACAGAGGGAGGGGGTCAGAGGGTTCTTGTACCTCGGCCGCCTCCTTCTTGTACTTCTCGATGGTTCTCTTGTCGATGTGGTCAGAGGAGTCAGAGGGGGTCAGATGGGGGTCAGAGGGGGTCAGAGGAGTCAGAGGGGTCAGATGGGGGTCAGATGGGGGTCAGAGGGGGGTCAGATGGGGGTCAGAGGGGGTCAGAGGGGGTCAGATGGGGGTCAGAGGGGGTCAGAGGGGGGTCAGATGGGGTCAGATGGGGGTCAGATCAGAGGGGGTCAGAGGGGGTCAGAGGGGGTCAGATGGGGGTCAGATGGGGGTCAGATGGGGCAGGTCAGAGGGGGTCAGGGGGTCAGATGGAGGTCAGAGGGTTCTCGTACCTCGGCCGCCTCCTTCTCGTACTTCTCGATGGTTCTCTTGTCGATGTGGTCAGAGGGGACAGATGGGGTCAGAGGGGGGTCAGAGGGGGTCAGAGGGGTCAGAGGGTTCTCGTACCTCGGCCGCTTCCTTCTCGTACTTCTCGATGGTTCTCTTGTCGATGCCTCCGCACTTGTAGATCAGGTGTCCGGTGGTGGTGGATTTCCCCGAGTCCACGTGTCCGATCACCACCAGGTTCAGGTGTGTCCTTTCTTCGGCTTTGGGCGGCATCTTCTACCTGCGCCGACGGAACGCAGACGGAACATAGAACACAGAACACCAGATGGGGGAACAGAGAGTGAACACTTTCTAAAACGTGTGAAACAAACACAACTCCTGGTCCGTTTGTGACGAGGAACTTTAGAACATCAGAACATCAGAACATTAGAACATTAGAACATTAGACCATAAGAGCATTAGAACATTAGAACTTTAAAACATTAGAACATTAGAACATCAGAACATCAGAACATCAGAACATTAGAACATTAGAACATTAGAACATCAGAACATCAGAACATTAGAACATTAGAACATTAGAACTTTAAAACATTAGAACATCAGAACATTAGAACATCAGAACATCAGAACATTAGAACATTAGAACATTAGAACATCAGAACATCAGAACATTAGAACATTAGAACATAGAACATCAGAACATCAGAACATTAGAACATTAGAACATCAGAACATCAGAACATTAGAACATTAGAACTTTAAAACATTAGAACATCAGAACATTAGAACATCAGAACATCAGAACATTAGAACTTTAAAACATCAGAACATTAGATCTAATGGTCTAAACATAGGTTTAGACCTGGTTCAGTTCTGGTTTATTTATTTTATGCTCAACTAAAGCCAAAAATGCCGCGCAGGAAAAAACAACGGATTATAAACGTGATTTAAAACACAGGTGAGAGTTTAGAGTTTAGAGTTTAGAGTTTAGAGTTGTGTGGTTTTTGTGTGTTTGCCTTCAGGCAAATCCTGGAGTATTTACACGAACCAGGACTAAACCAGGACTAGACCAGGTCTAAGCCGGGACTAAACCCAAGACTAAAACCAGGTCTAAACCAGGTCTAAACCAGGACTAAACCAGGACTAAACCAGAACTAAACCAGGACTAGACCAGGACTAAACCAGGTCTAAACCAGGTCTAAACCAGGACTAAACCAGGACTAAACCAGGTCTAAACCAGGTCTAAACCAGGACTAAACCAGGACTAAACCAGGACTAAACCAGGTCTAAACCAGGTCTAAACCAGGACTAAACCAGGTCTAAACCACTAAACCAGGACTAAACCAGGACTAAACTCAGTCCTCTCCATGGTCTGGTCTCACCTGTGCTCTGGCTCCTGTGGCTCCTGTGGCTCCTGTGGTCGTTGTGTCTGAGGATTTTTTGGAGGAACTTCTCAGACTCTTATAGACTCACGGCGACCAATCAGAGAGCGGCTCAGGAGGAGGACGATCCGGTCCGACCAGGACTAAACCAGGACTAAACCAGGACCAGGATCTCACCTGGACTAAAACAGGTCTGACCAGGACTAAACCAGGACTCAACCAGGACCAGGATCTCACCTGGACTAAAACAGGTCTGACCAGGACTAAACCAGGACTCAACCAGGACCAGGATCTCACCTGGACTAAAACAGGACTAAAGCCGGACTAACCCAAGACTAACGCCAGGACTAAAGCTGGACTAACCCGGGACTAAACCAGGATTAACCCAGGACTAAAACCGGACTAACCCAGGACTAACCCAAGACTAACCCAGGACTAACCCAGGACTAAAACTGGACTAACCCAGGACTAACCCAGGTCTAACCCAGGACTAAAAACCCAGGTCTAACTCAGGACTAACCCAGGTCTAAGTCCGGTCTTTACTGGGTCCATCTGACACGTCGGGTTTTGTGACGTGAGTCTGAAAAACCCAAATCCCTCTGATGATGTCATCACAGGAAACGCCCCAAACTCTCCAGTCACTT